TAGGTAAGACAGGAATTCGCTGTAAATTTTACTGTTGTTTGTATTACATGGGACCTGTCTGAAGGCGACGACCTGCGTTAAATCGATGAGTGTGTCGTATCGATTATATGAGTGTCGAATTGACTTACTTGTACAGAATGTACTGACGTTTTTTTGTAATATTTTTCCTTCATATTGCATAGTGCTGTTTTATACTGTTTCACTCAGAAATTTTATTATTTTTAACTCTTTCGCTCAGCACTATTGCATTTACTCGATTTTTTCTCCATGAAAAAGACTGTCTTCAGTACATCATGATCATGTAATACAGTCAAGTCTACCTCACTTAATTCGTATCAGATAGGCGGGACCACGGCATTTTCTACGAATTACGTAATCAACAAATTAGAGAATTTAGACTTAATTTGTATTTTTCACGAGTTCTATTTAATCCGTAGAAACCACGAAATAGATAGATAATTCGCGTAAACAACGATTTATGAATGAAAGTTTAACATTGTAATAAAAAGATTTGTTTGTGCAATGTACTTATGTTTGGTGATTTTTAACTAGACACATCATTAATCATTGCAAATTTCGAATTACAGAATACGAATTAGGAAATGTAATAGTCGATGAGTAATTAGTCGATGACTATCACACCTATACGACGGAAATGAAAGGGAATAAAGAAGAGAAATATTGTGACCACATGTTTTTGAACGAATTAGGTCATTCTACGAATAAAGTGATGACAAATTAAGCGAGGTTGACTGTCTGTATTTGTAAATTGTATCTGAATTACATGCAATAAAGATTTAATCATAATATTACTACTAGTAGTACTAGTAATGATAATAATAACGTTATGTAGACTAAACTCTGGTCTGTGCATAACCCCGACCACCAGGCTGTGTGACAAACGTTAATATAGGTATTCTAACCCTAGCAATACCGTTTCTTGGAGCTACTGTCAGTACTGTGCATGAGCCGAAATGTCGAATTACTACACTAATCACAGTCACTATAGTATTATTAGTATAGTTTCGCTTGTTGAAAATCAGCTGAGTCTGTAGTGTAAGCCTACTGTAGTGTACGAAATATGCAGCTCGACCTCGATGACCGACACGACCGACATGACCGACACTGCGACACTCAATGTGACTCATTTGCAAATTGCATTGACTTTTCCTTTAATGTTTATCAATTTTATGTTACTTACGCTATCTGTCAATTTGATTAACTTGTCTCTCCGTCTTCGTTATAGTCCGTTTGACTTTTCAAGACTATTCTTTATAAGGTTACGAGGTACAAAACATCAGCTGAGTGCTTGTCTCGGCGGTTTAGTCTGTTTAGCAGTCAAGTGACCGTGTTTTCTACGCATAAACATGGCACCATGGCACGTGCTCGCGTATAACCAATCCGTTTCACTTCTCTGTATATATTGTTCTCAGGATGCAAGCATGTATGTTCGCTTTTTTCAATTTGTTATGTTATATTACACACACATATATATATGTATATATATAATAGATAATGTATGTTATACATTATATTACCTTATGTGCATGAAGTCGTGGAGAAAATTACTACATGTGACGTCATATGTATATATATATATATATATATATATTATTATATATATATATTGATACGTACGTACGCATGTGTGTGCGTTTGTGTGCGTGTGTGTGTGTGTGTGTGTGGTGTGTGTGTGTGTGTGTGTGCATGCGTGCGTGCGTGCGTGCGTGCGTGCGTGTGTGTGTGTGTGTATGTATGTACGGGCATTGCAATGTCACGTGTTTATATTGAGTCGTGCGACATTCGCCTCACCCGGACATTCACACGGACATCGCGTTTCATCGTGTCGCCGTTGACGACGGTTGTTACCACCAGAGGTCGCTGCGTTGCATGTTAGGTAATGCATATGTAAATGCGTTGCATTTAACTTGTGTG